ACCTCATTATATGAATAATCACATCAATATATTATTCCAAGGTTGACCAGTTGCCAGATCTTGTATGAAACGCATCCTACTCACACAATAGACAGATCATACAATTTTGAAACCTTTTGTGGCCTCAACCTGGCAAGCTACAACTCAGTTGCACTGTTGATATCTGTGCATGTAGACGGGGGAAGTTGAATCAGTCATCACTGGTAGAAATGGCATTAGAAAGCTCAGGTGGTGCTACGGCGAAAAAAAAACAAAATGTAGCTGCAAATTCAACAACAGCTGGACGGAGGAATTCAATTCAATTCAATTCAAGTTTATTTGTATAGCGCTTTTCACGATACAAATCGTTGCAAAGCAACTTTACAGCAAATTAAGTTTCTACAATATTCAGTAGTAGCGTATCAGTGGTGACTGTCAGATAATGTACATATGGCAGAAATGTATGGAAAAATCAATTAAAGACGTAATCAAACAGACGATAAACACTATTAACAGCAATTATTATATGATGCAATCAAACTTATAGCGAAATGTGGTAGTTCTGTAAGTTGTTTCAGGGTTGGCATCATCTGAGGTCCTCTGAGGGGTTGGCATCATCTCTTCTCAGGTGTTCTGGATCCAGACTGAAGCTTGTGTAAATACTAGTTACCACGAGATGTTAATCCCGTGGCAAAAGCAGAGAAACAAATAGAGACATAATTAGCATAGCTGCTGTTCCAACTAAGCACAATTTATTTGTTTAACCCAAACTAAAGAATAATAATGTGCATTTGATCAGATATAACTGCAGTACAAGATTATGAGATGCATTATTTGAATGCTTGGCCAAAGAGATGTGTCTTTAATCTAGATTTAAACAGAGAGAGTGTGTCTCAACCCCGAACGTTATCAGGAAGGCTATTCCAGAGTTTGGGAGCCAAATATGAAAAAGCTCTACCTCCTTTAGTGGACTTTGCTATCCTAGGTACTACCAAAAGTCCAGAGTTTTGTGACCTTAGGGAGCGTGATGGATTGTAGCGTGGTACAAGACTAGTTAGGTACGCAGGCGGTAACCCATTAAGGGCCTTATAGGCAAGTAATAATATTTTGTAACTGATACAGAACTTAATAGGTAGCCAGTGCAGAGATTGTAAAATTGGGGTAATATGATCATATTTTCTTGACTTGGTAAGGACACTAGCCGCTGCATTATAAGGAATATAATTTCTTATCGCAAAGCAGCATTGACAATTCCCATGCTTTTTGCAAAGTGTGTCGCACTTATTTTAGTATTGGACACGGAGGGAAAAATGAGCGCAGCACAATAAATCACAATGCCCCAAACCCGCAGTCGGAGAACCAGAGCCCACCGTGACTGAAGAGCCATCGCGAGAAGAAGCGACTGAGCCTGAGCCGATTGACGCATCTGACCAAGTGTGTGAGCCGGCAACATCGCACATGTCGAAGGGAATTCTCGTGGAACACAAGGGTATGGATGTGAGCCCCTCCCACTCTCCCGCCACTGAGAGTGAGTGTTTACTTGACTTGGACACTGTTTTTCAGTTTGGAGAGTTCGAGACTTTGCTTTACTTTTACTTTGCTGGTTCCTCCCAGCCTCCCTCTCCCACCTCCTTTCCAAACTGCCTTAAGAGACTTTTTATTTTTGCGGATTTCTGCAGTCTCCTCAGTCCTCAGCCACTCCTGCTGTCTAGTCATCTCCATCCCCAGTCAGTTCCTCTATTTCACCTCCTCTCAGTGGTGGGGCTCCATCTCAGGCCAGCCGGGCGTCTTTGTCTCCTGGACCTGAGGAGCCCGTGGCTCTGCCTCTGGCCTTGGATGGCTCCGCTCCACCTCGTCCCGCCGTCCTGACTCCTGCACCTGCACAACTCCCACCTTCGATTCCGGCATGGACTTTTGGCCTCGCTGGGCTCCCTCGTTCAGTCAGCTCCACCTTGGTCAGACTTTGCCACACCTCTGCTGCAGACTTGCGGGCCGTCCGCTGCTCACTGGCCCTCCACCCCTTCGGCTACAGCCCGCTCCGCCCTCCCTCAGGCTCCATCTTCTTCCTCGGTCGCTCCAGCTCTCCCTCTAGCCTCTGAATCCCCACTTACATCTCGGGCGATCATCGCTACTACTCCGTCGCAGCCACCTGGATCCTCCTCGGTATCGCTCCTCCTCCTTGGCACTTTGTCTGTGCTGTGTGCTCCACCTCCATCGTTGTCAGCAACTCGTCATCGTAGTCTAATGGTTAGAGAGTTGGTCTTGTAAACCGAAGGTTGCGAGTTCAAGTCTCAGGTCCGGCAGAAATTGTCGGTGAGGAGAGTGAATAACCAGTGCTCTCTTCCACCCTCAATACCACAACTGAGGTGAGACCCTTGAGCAAAGCACCAAACCCCCAACTGCTCCCCGGGCGCCACAGCAATATGGCTGCCCACTGCTCTGGGTGTGTGTGCAGAGCACAAATTCTGAGTATGGGTCACCATACTTCACCACACGTCACTTCACTTTCACTTTCATCCCATGGTGGTGTGTGTTGCCATCACACATTTGCTCCTCCCTCCAGCAACGCCACCATGGAGCGCATTCCTGGCTGTGGCCTGGGTCTCCTGCTCAAGGCTCCTCCCTGGATTTTGTTTGTCGTCCTCCTCCCGAACCTCCTCCTGCATCTCTCTGCTGGAGTGCCTGCCCTTCGCCAACCCCCCTCCTCATCCTCCTCGCCGCGTCATCCTTCTCTCTGAGAAGGGGGTCATATGTCACATGTCATTCAGTTTGGACTTTGTTTTCTTCATGCACCGTTCCCCTTCATTGAGTTAATTGTGTCATTCTGTTCAGGTGTGTGTAATTAATTATCCTTGTTTGGTCTGTGTATTTTAGTTCCTGTGTGTTCAGTTCTAGTTTATCCGGTCTCGTCAATGTCAACATCTGCGTTTATGCTACCCTGTGTGTTGGATTAAAAACTGTATAAACCTTCTTCTTCTTAGTACGTTTATTGTTAGCAGCGTAGCTGTGACAGTAACAACGTTACATGTATTTTGTTACTCCCCAACCCTGTTTATGAGTACTGATAAACAGCCAATATTCTAGTAATATGCATGCTAATAAGCAACTAGTTAATAGTGAATAGTGTTCTCAAAAAGACAATGCTACCAAACGTTACCAAAAAGACATAATTTTAACACATCCCTCAGTTCATAAAAGTGAACAGCTGACATATTGTAATAAACTGAAATAAATCTCTATTTATAATACTTTTATAAAAGTTTATCCATTACCGAAATATACTGTACATGGTAGCAAGAGATTTCTTGAATGTTGTACATACTGTTCTATTGTTTCTTAAGCATTTGTCTTATGTCTTGTTTTTCAGTGGTCTCTGATTGTTCCAGTTATTTCCGTCTGGGTGTGAAAGGCTTCACCTATCAGCGGTGTGAATTCACTACGCTGTGTTACGCTCCATCATGGGTCTGTGATGGCGCAAATGACTGTGGAGACTATTCAGATGAGAGAAACTGCCCAGGTGAACACAAGGGTACTTCAGCTGTGTGCTGCATTTTAGAGCCTGTGAAATGGGTGTCTTCCATGGTCCCTTTTTTCTGGCTTTTCCTTTTCAAGTAATGAAAATAAAATCTTTTAAAAAGATATTCACATTTTTATTGAAATCTCTGAATTTTAGGCTATTGGAAATCTGAGCACAGTTTAAGATATTTGCTTACTGAAATCTCCTCTGAAACTCTAGAAAATACATATTTCTGAGATGCAGAGCATTGCTCTCCATGTAATCTCATCACTGTCTATCCTTTCTGATAGTTATTAAAAAAATCTTATTTGTTATTGTTGGTTTTTTTTCTTCATTTTTGGCTGACTAGCCATTTTCTTTGCAATCAACTGATGTTTAAGAATGGAAATAAAGTAATAGTATATATATATATATATATATATATATATATATATATATATATATATATATATATATTTCTTAGAGAATCGGGGCATAGAG